ATTTACATATTATGGGCGCCAAAAATATTATTATAATGGTGATTTGTTATAATACACTTTTCGAAAACCCAAGTTTTGCGCGCCAAAAACACAACAGGAAACGTTTGGGCGCATGAATAAAATATCATATTATATAATGCAGAAGAAATTTACATTTATGTAAGACTGTATTTAGAGGACTCAGCAAAATTCGTCAGATTTTTTGATCAATTAAAGCCAACTAAAATATAATTTTTATTTAAATAGCTAAATTTTTGTTGTTATTATTGTTATTACTTTAACTTATAATAATGGTGTATTTTTAATAATTATATCTGTTGAGCTTTATCAAGTGCTCTTTTTAATAACATTATTGTTATTAATAACTAATATTATTAACAATAATAATATATAAGATATAATAAGAGCACTTGATAAAGTTAAACAGATAATAATTAATTTATAAATAAACTAAAGAACCAAAAAACAATTATGACTTGAATTGGATAAGTTGTTGTGGCAATTTGTATAACTATCATTATTATTATGATTATTATTATTACTATCTCTAGATATAAAACTGTTTGTCCTGACTGACTGACTGACTGACTGACTGGTGATCAACGCACAGCCCAAACCGTAAGAGCTAGGAAGCTGAAATTTTCACTGTAGTTACCTTATGTGATGTAGGTGCACGTTAAGACGGGGTTTCGGGAAATTCCACCCGCAAGTGTGGAAAAATCGCAAAAAACGTTTGTATGTAACTTTTTTATGTACCATCCGATCGGCCAATCAAATTTATTTCCAAAGGTCTTTGTTCAAATTCATTTGAGGGGTGTTTCGCACTTTTTGGAAAATGCATCCCTCCTTGGTGGAAATGGGGGTCAAAAATTTGGTGGGTGACGTTTCGCCCTCAAATTTATTTCCAAGTATCTATATGAAATTTCATTTGAGACGTGTTTTTCGCTATTCGCAGAATTCAAACTTCTTCGGGGGGAATGCGACTCAAAGATTTTTTGTGCGAAGTTTTAAGTTGTGTCCGATTTGCTTTAAGCTTATTTTCAAAGCTCTACATAAGAACTTAATGAATACGTATTTCAGCGAATTGGGAAATTCCACCCGCAACAGTAGTAAATTGGCGGAAAACGGTTGTATGAAAGTTTTTTGTTTACCATCCGATCGGCCCCAAGCTCATTCTCAAAGATCTATGTTCAAATTCATTTGAGGGGTGTTTCACACTTTTTGAAAAATCCATCCCTCCTTGGTGCAAATGGGGGTCGAAGATTTGGTGGATGACGTTTTGTGTTCAAATTTATTTCCAAAGATCTATAAGAAACATCATTTGAGAAGTGTTTCACATTTTTCGCAAAATCTAAACTCCTTCGGTGGAAAATACATTTCAAGATTTTTTGGGTGAATTTTAAGTTTGTTTGTTTCCCGTCCGATCAGTTTCAAAATCATTTTCAAAGCTTTTTGAAAACATTGATTTTATAACTTACGTGCCACGGGCAAGGCCGGGTTATACCCGCTAGTTATTAATAAAGGAACTCAATAAAACTCTTAAGATAAATATTATTTTTTAAGGTAAATTGACCACACAGCCAACAATATTTTGAATTGATCTATAGTATTATTATTAATATTATTATTATTATAGGTATTTTTATAGGTATGGGATATGATGTTAAGCTTTTAATCTTACTTTTAAAGCCGAATCCTTGTTTCTTAGATGCCTGAATAATTGGATCAGTTAGACAACTCATCCAACAGCTGTTTATAATATTCGATAAAATAACAAAAATGTTTTTTATACCCTTGTATTGTATATTATAATTTCCTTATGAAATGTGTAACGTATAGAAGGAGACAGCTCAGATCAACTATACTTTTGATCAGCATCTACAGCCGAGTCTGTATGTTTGTAGTTCTTAGGGAAAAACCGGCCGAAAAAAGAGTTTTTGTGTTGCTAGATGGCAACATATTAGACTTTTTTCTTTACCCAGGCAGGCTTGAAATCTGAAAAGCGCCTTAAAACAATAGCACACATGATTCTTAACGAAAACATGATCTACATAAGGTGCAACACGTAAATACACGTAAAATGCTGACGACCAAGCCATAAACAAAATACAAAACGTTCACCTAATGACATTTCGGGACTTTCCCATCAAAAGTCTGGCGCGATTCATAATGATAGGCAATGGCAAGGGTAAGGGTGCGGGTGCGGGTGCGGGTGAGGGTGATGGAACAGCCGGCGGCAGTTCGCGCTGCTCAATGAACGGTGGCAACTTTTCGGCCATAAACAGTAAAATACGAAATTTTCCGCTCTGCGCCAAAGCAAATGAACAAAATTTCCCAAATGCCTTAACCCTTTCGTTTCGACCGAAGCGTCATTAGGACTGTGGCGTCGTCAGACGCCTAACAACAATGTCATACAATGGTATATACAATGGCATAACTGTAGTTGCACCGATTTTGGTGCACGTTTATGAGTCTTAACCCTTTCGCCCACTATCAGCGGCGATTCATAAAAATGCAGCGAAAGTGCCATAAAGATTGGCAGATTGCTACCTGATAGCTATTCTTGGCATTCTTCGAAAACAAAAAGGTGCTAACTACAGTTTTTGAACATCATCATTAGCCACAGCCGACCTCTGGCCAGGCGTCTATGGGTCGGCTGCTGTGCACAGGCTATACCTGGCGCAGTCGTGACACCCGAGCAAACCCTTTCGCTTTCGCAAGGCGCAAGTCGGCCGCCCAACCTGCAGTCCATTTTTTCTTGTTTTAAAGGAATTTTGCTAAAAAGTCATATGCTGAGCGCTTTTCCCCGGAATTGGTTTATTCATTTTTTGGCCTTCAAGTAGGCTACCTAGGGCCTTACCTGCAGCTCGGCTGCCTGAGTGCGACTGCTGTTTAAGGACTTGTGGTGGATTTAGCGCTAATCCACTGGGATTAGCGGAATTAGCAGCTCGCCGGCGTTTCGATACTTCATTAAGTAATGGAGCTGTACTTAGCTTGAATGAATGTACTGCTCGGCGTTTTCCTGCAAATTTTCCCTAGGCAAGTTCAATTGAAATTGGAGCTGAGGAATTTTTGTAATTATGAATTATGTGGGAAAGTTTGATAGCGAGTGCAGCTGTCAGCTATGCCATAGACAGCATCAACTGAAGCGAAGATCATACATATTCATGAGTTCCCACGACAAACCCTAAGCCAGTCACAAATTGACCGATGGTCAGAATATAGTACACACTAAAAATTGATATGTCATCGTCATCTGGTTTACTAGAGCATCATAATCAACAAAACGAGAGAGTGAGATCCCTCTCTGGCCCACTCTGTGGGCTAATGATCTGCGATCTGCATCGTTATGTAGGCATAACATCACACGCAAACGCATTCCCATGCTGCACACCTGAGAAACCTGAGTTGACTGACTGACTGAGGCTAGTGCTCGGTGGTGGGTGGGTGTCCAGGACACATGCTCATCGCACCCAATCTAGACACCAAGAGTAACTACCCTCAGCATCAGCAGCCAGTGGCCACTCGAGGGGTTGCTATTCTAATTAGACCCTTTGCCCTTTTATTTTGTTGCTGTTGCTGTTGCTGCTATCATCGCAAGCATTTTATTGATCAAGTTACGCATCCGTAATATGAATCGAAATATATAATTGCTCTTTTTAAGTGTCTTGTCATATATCAATGCGTACGCATTTGCATTCAGCGCTCAGGTTCCCACAGCAGCGGCGACGAGGGATTGACAACCCCTCGGCCAGGGATCGGGCTGCGCTAGGCGTTCGAGTTTTAATCGCACCAGACTTACGGGATCTTGCTTAACATTTATTAAGTACAATATGTTTTTCGCGTGAATTCTATAATTCTGCGCATTTTCTTCTGGCGTTGATCCTTTTGTTGCGTTTTTGCCTCTGCGAAAAGCTTGCTTTAAATTATTTGCCCTTGGATGATCTTGATCTTGGTTCTGGGCCTGGTCCATGTCGTGCTCGTGGTCTCTAATCTGCTTAAGCGGCACGCGATTAGGCCACTGCCTCTGCAGAGACCACACTGACTGGCTGTTGGCCTTAGTTAAGCGTGGGGCGATTAAAACGATTCCACTTGAATTTAATTTGAGCTGCCTCTGCAAAAGGCATACTCTAAGCTGGCTTAGGTAAGGTTAAGAGAGTGGCGAGTGGCGGGTGGCTGTGCTTGAGCTGGGCACGAGTGGTTAAAGCTGCAGCTTTTGAGTGGCTGCCACAGAGTGGTTTTTGATATGTATGCCCCATCAACTGCAATTGCATCATAAAAGTTCACTTAGTTCAATAGATGAATGAAAACAATTACAATAAAAGCACCCCGCGCCGAACAACCCTTGAGGCAGAGACAAACGCGACATGTACCCACAGGTACTTCACACAAATCACAAAGCGGCAACAATGGCCAGCGCCATAAACGGCCAGCCATGAGTCCTGATGAGGATGTGCCTGCTCATAATAACAACTGTCGCACAACAGCCAGGCTCTCCAAATCAAAGAGAGACATAGCCTGACAGAGAGAGAGTGAGAGAGAGAGAGAGAGAGCGTGTGGCAGGTAGACACTCAGAGCGAACCTCAACGGAAAAAGACCATAAAACCCCAGAGGCGAAAAGTTGAGAATGAGCCTGAGCGACGGCTGCTCAATGAATTTTCGCAATGGCAGCCGCTGCCAGCAGGATCAAAAATCGCTGCCAGCCAGCCTCGTTAGAGCCAACGGGTGGAAGCGAGAGCGCTATAGCTGGCCAACCCTGTCTGGCACTGCGAGGCAGCGCAACGACCAATAAACGCCCGGCCGCTACCTAGGGGTGATCGACTGCTCGCTGAATGGCACACGGCGGCTGGATTTGTGAGAGGACGCAGGACTATTAAAACAGGAGCTGGGTGGTGAGCAGACAACACAATCATCCGTGATCTCAACGAGTCCACTTCGCTCGTCCACGTCTCGTCCGTCGTGTTGTGCGCCAGAACAGACGTAAAACTCAAAGCCTAACTCGAACTCAAAACTAAACTGAAATACAAAAGCAATTTTTGAAAAAAATTGCGCAAGTGCAAAAAGTGTGTGTGTGTGTTATTATTATCCTGCTTAAAGTTGTGTCTATTAAATCGCCAAAATTACGCCCCACATCGGTATGCAATCGTCGGAGGGTTCGCCAGATATGATGGATCAAAAATACAACAGTGTACGGCTGTCGCCAGCTGCATCGAGTAAGTATTTGCCCATGGCAGACATCCTTCGAAAGTAGCTCCCACTGCAGCCAGGACGAAATAAACTAACCAAATCTTTTTCTGCTCTGCCGCTTTCAGGTCGCATTCTGTACCATGTGCCGTGCAAGGTCTGCCGGGATCACAGCTCGGGCAAGCACTACGGCATATATGCCTGTGATGGCTGCGCGGGCTTCTTCAAGCGCAGCATCCGTCGCTCCCGCCAGTACGTGTGCAAGTCACAGAAGCAGGGACTCTGCGTCGTGGACAAGACGCATCGCAATCAGTGCCGCGCCTGCCGTCTGCGCAAGTGCTTCGAGGTGGGCATGAACAAGGATGCAGTGCAGCATGAGCGCGGACCACGCAACTCAACGCTGCGCCGTCACATGGCCATGTACAAGGATGCAATGATGGGCGCCGCTGAGATGCCGCAGATACCGCCAGAGATACTTATGAATACGGCCGCCTTGGCTGGATTTCCCGGCCTGCCCATGCCCATGACGGGCGTGCAGCGTAGTCATCATCATGCCGCACTAAGCGCCGCCTTTCAGCCACCACCGCCCGCCAACGTGCTCGATCTGTCCGTGCCGCGTGTGCCGCATCATCCTGTGCACCAGGGCCACCATGGCTTCTTCTCACCCACCGCCGCCTACATGAATGCGCTGGCTACTCGGGCGTTGCCGCCGACGCCGCCGCTGATGGCCGCCGAGCATATTAAGGAGACTGCTGCAGAGCATCTGTTCAAGAATGTGAACTGGATCAAGAGTGTGCGCGCCTTCACCGAGCTGCCCATGCCCGACCAGCTGCTGCTGCTGGAGGAGTCCTGGAAGGAGTTCTTCATTCTGGCCATGGCCCAGTATCTGATGCCCATGAACTTCGCCCAGCTGCTGTTCGTCTATGAGTCGGAGAATGCCAATCGCGAGATTGTGACCATTGTTGCCCGCGAGGTGCACGCCTTCCAGGACGTGCTCAACCAGCTGTGCCATCTGAATATCGACAGCACGGAATACGAGTGTCTGCGCGCCATCTCCCTGTTCCGCAAGTCGCCGCCCGCGGCTAGCTCCACCGAAGATCTGGCCAATAGCTCCATTTTGACCGGCAGCGGCAGCCCCAACTCCAGTGCCTCGGCTGAGTCTCGTGGCCTGCTGGAGTCCAGCAAGGTGGCGGCTATGCACAATGATGCCCGCAACGCGCTGCACAACTACATCTCACGCACGCATCCCAACCAGCCGCTGCGCTTCCAGACGCTGCTCGGCGTGGTCTCGCTGATGCACAAGGTGTCCAGCTTCACCATCGAGGAGCTGTTCTTCCGCAAGACCATCGGCGATATCACCATTGTGCGCCTCATTTCGGACATGTACAGTCAGCGTAAGATCTGAGTCCAAGTTGGGCCGACTCGAATTGCCGTCGGCAAGACCGCGTCCGCGCACTTGAAGTGCCTTCGTAGTGCTGGAAACTGTGATATCTGAAGTTTGGAGTTGGAGTTGGGGGTAACACTGGCTGAGACAGTGACTGAGACGGTGACTGTGACAGTGACAGTGACAATGACAGTGACCATTGGACAATATTTAACAGTGAACTGCTGCAGATAGCTTACAAATCTCTCGGATCTGAGCCTTAAAATGTATTCGTTATACGTAAATCAATTCAGAACGTGATTCAAATCGCATTCAGAAAAGTTGAAACTTTTTGTTGTCTAGCCTTAAGTTGCATTAGTATTTAAGTGCATATCATATGTTTAATAAAATTAGCATAGAAAACATACAAAAAAAAAAACACATATTCAAATATACATATAGCTAAAGCTTTTGGAAACAACAACAATTGTACTTACCATTTAATGGGCAAAGGGTTTTGTCAGCTTATGATCTATATCGAGAAATACTCATACCTCAACATTTTTGGGGAATATTTATAAAGAGGAAGATTAAAATATTTGTTAAATATATTTATATATGGGAAATATATATTACGTATATAATTATGATGTAATGTATGTACATGAGCACAAATATTTGTCATGGAATTATAAGGAATGTTCCTTAAATCGGTTTCATGAGAGAGAGAGAGACAGAGAGAGAGAGAGAGAGAGAGAGAGAGAGAAGAGACTTTTTGAAATATTTTTTTATAATTTTGATTAGGCCTAATTTTATCACCAATCACAAATTCTATAACATATAAAACAGATTTTATCTGAGCATTTTTCTGTTACAGATTTTCAAAAGCTTCTTTATAAATTAAAGCTAAACTAGAATGAATACTCTTTGATTTAATGGCGGTTTTAAGATAGGCAGAATCTGTTTTCACGAATATCTTTCGATTAGAGCTCTATTTATTGATAGAATAAAGAACACGGTATACAACGTTCTTTGCCCATCATAACACATAGCGTGAATAATATTTATTGGGTTATTTATCAATACAATTTTGACACGTTAATTTGTATCCCCTTTTTAGATATATAAGTGTTTCAATCGGACTAAAGCTTTTTAATCGAATCAATAAGATAAAGCTTTGGAAAGTCTTTGATACATTTTTTTTTTTTTTTGGTCTGTTTAATAAAATAGCTTTCAGAGATCCAGCAATAGCCATTGCATTTATTCAACCATATATGGTAGATGTCCAACGGACAATTATAAACTCGAAATTAAATTGCATCAATTATTTCATGAAAATATATGACAAACCAAGGTTTGAACCACAACCTGAAATAATGGATGTGGAAGAACAGGTGCACCAAGCGAACCTAAAGACGTCATAAAAATCATATAATATATATATTATATGATAAAAATCATATAATTTCATAAATGAGAAGATATTTGACTTCAAAAACTTGCATTTAAATTATTATAATAAACAATTAATGCTAAACTAAAAACTATTTAACCTATGCAACGACCTCTTTGGGAGGCACCCAAACATCTGAGGACCAACCGCAGTGCTCGTCCAGGTAATCGGAAATGCATTATGCAAATCCTCAGACAAAAGATCTGATGCATTTGGCATTGAAATCAAACAAATTAGCATAGTTTTTCCACATCAGCTAACCAAAGTCGGGATTAATTTGGGAATGGCAGTTGGCCCTAAAATGGCCGCTCCAACTGTCTGTACCCGGCGACAACTCAGTCTCAGTCTCCCTCGGTCGAGAGATATCTCGATGGGCACAAAACACAATTCAAAAAGTTAAAAAGCAAAAATTCACTTTAGATGACTTTGTCGAGCGGCGTTGGATCGCTGAAGGTTGTTGTTCCGTCCATGGCAGACAATAACAATTGAATCCTTTGACAATAGCACATGGAACAGGGCATGCCAAAATATAGTATCCTTTGCCGAAAGGCTGAATAAACAAGGCGCTGAAAATAGTTGCCAATCGTTTTGCAGGCTGCGGCAAAATTGTTGAAATTGCGTTGGCCAAAGTAAATAGAAACGTTGAATGCATCCGTTCTATATAGATATAGATATATATATATATATATATATATATGTGCGTGTCTATATGCCACTGACACACATTCATGACCAGGAGCACGGTGCAAAACCTACCCTAACCCGTAGCACCCAGAGCTCAATGCTTGCGGGGATTTGGAATTAAATATGCTTCGTTGCCGCTGCCATTTCGACTTTGCCAAGGTCCATGCTCGACTCGGCTAGGATGCTGTTGTTGTTGTTGGTGTTGTTGTTGTTCCTGCTGCTGCTGCTGTTGAATCCGGCACAAATTTTGTTGTCTCTGAGGGCACAAAGCGTTTCGACTGCTGCCGCTGGGTTGTTGAGCCCTTTTAAGTCCTAATGGCCCTTTATTATCTGCCTTTAGACTTTTAATAGACTCAGAGGCGACACGGATGCAGTGTGTATGTTTGTGTGTGTGTGTGTGTCTCTCTATGCAATTGTGGTTGTTGCTGTTATAGTCCCAGTCCTAGCTGTGCGCCTGTATTGGTTTAATCCTCATCATTCTGTCATCAGTGACGTTTTTCTGCACATTGTTGGCATTGTATTGTTTGGGTCTTAATTTGTAGTTTTCCCATTTTCGCAATCGCAATAAAAAAAGAAATTTCTCACTTTTTGATTTCCTTGTGCAAAATGTGGAGCAAGCCCTAATTGAGCCATTGGCTTTGACTGCACCCCTTGATTCAGCCAGCGACCAGACAGGGACTAACTTGAGGCACAAGCTTTAGATTAATTCAAGCCACTTGAACTGCTTTAAGTCAGTGCAGGATTGAGCTTCGACTCCCACCCAGCGCTGGGTGGGTGTGTGGACTAAGCCGGAGCCAGCGCAGAGCCGCTGCTGCAACACTTCAGCTCAAGTGGGTTGGCCTAAACTTCGTCGGAATCTGGACCGAAGCTGGCGGATTTTCGGTAACACTTTTAATTCATAGATTTTCGTTGATTAAGTAATCCGCGTCCTCAATGAAGGCGACGCGCATGATTAACGCAATTCGCGTAAGCGAGGACCTGCTTAACGGGGCAGGTGTGGAAATATACGTATTCCTGCTGTGTCAGGTTTTGGGTTGTCGTAGCTAGTAGCTTAACCCCGACAACAGGTCTGAGTCGGAGGCTGCGTGCGAGCTAAAGTTCGAGTTCGAACCGAGTCTGTGTTTGTGTCTGCGTCCGCGTCTGAGTCGTCGTCCATGTGGATCATTGCATTGGTTAGCGGTTATCCTATGCGCAATTACCTAGCGAAACAAAAATATGAGTATGCAAATAGATTTTAATGGGCTGGATTACCCTTTTGCTAAACGCTCAAATCCTGACCGGGCGGTCGACCAGGCCGCATCATGGCCCATTGTTTTCAAATATAATGAGAATGTCTCTAAGCCAAAATATTAAACATCCGTTTGATCCTGGCCAGCAAGCCGCAAGCTGCAAATCCGGCTTCCGTTTGCCTCATTGTTGTACCTGAAGTCAGTCCCAGGACGAGTCGCTCCGAACGCCCAACCCAACTGCAGCCAGTAAAAGTCAAAGCGGTACCAGGGCGGCGTTGTTATTGTAAATTGAGTAGCTCTATTTATCGCCAGATCAATTTTCTATATCTGCCGCACAGATAAGCGAGTGAGCGGGAGGCAAATAATTCTCGTGCTATTCTCTAAGTATTCTAATTGTTGTGTGGCTTACGGACGGGCGACTAAGCCTCGCCCCTGCCCGTTCTGCAGCTTAACTTACTTTAGTAGGCAAATGGCAGTTTTTCTGTAGAAAATTCGATTTGTATTTTTGCATAGGTCCCAGAGCAATCGTATTGTTTTTAGCGCTTAGCTAGTTAATTTGACGTTTGGCTGTATCTAATGATGTTCATTAGCTGAACTAGTTCAATCAAAGCAGCTGCTCCGAACGAGGCTCAGCAAATCGTTAGATCAGTTTCCCAGAGGTGACCTGATAATTAAAATCAGTGAAGCGTCTGCTAATTCAAAGTACTTGGCACATTGGCACATCCTAGCATCTTTTATGCTCCTAAGTACTTGATGCTCGGAGTCTAAGTCTGCGTAAATCTTTAGTTTTTTATTGTTACAATCTGCGTAGGGCACAATGGGCCCCGAGGGCAGCTGATGAGTGGACCTCCTGGAGGTGAGAAAAATATTGAGGGCAAATTGCGACGATCCCGACGAACAATGGCTCCCGGGCTTCGTCTGGCACTTGAGAGCTCAAGAGCAACTTGCGTTTAACCTCAAGAAAGTTGCAATTGCCCGCATTTTGAAGATCCTTTGTGAAGGATTCGCTTGAATTTTGCTTTGAATATTGACAGGGTAACAAGTGTTATGCGATCAGCGACGACAGTTTTGCACGGGCTTGTCGGGGATTATTGCTTATTGATGCCCAATCAAAAGCTGCAGCGGACCACCAGGACGACAGAGCGTTGTGTGTGTTCCGTTCCACTCTAACCCTCGCGGGCATAGGGGCCAAGTATGGGAAACTTTGCGCTGTCAAGATTGCCACACAACTGCTTGCATTTGCTGCATATAGGAAATCCTGGCTGCAGGAAGCTGTTCCTCTGTTGCTGCCTCTGGGGCAGCTGATGACGTCGCAGCCTAATTGAATTTGTTGCCTTTTCATTTGATGTTGTCTTTAGATTTGCTTTTTTGTTAGCATAACAAAGCCGCCGACCGCTCACTGCCCTGAGGCGCTCATCGAGTGCGCAGATAGTTCATTAGGGTAACTCACAATCTGTCTGTAAAAAAAAAAAACCAAAAAAAGAAAGCGTAACATCCTTCTATGTGAAAATGGCGACGCAGTTGCCTGGAAGTGCTTATTATATAGCTGGGTACTCACTTATTGGACTATAAGCTATTATTCAAGTCGGCGGCACAGTTCGTTTAATTAAGCTGTCACACGAAGCCCCCAGCCGCTGCGCAGCCCCAACCCCAAAACGTAGTGAGCAGCCCTTGTTGGTCGGGAGAAGTTTGAAACTTTTCAACTTCCGGTCAATAAAGCAGGTGGTGGTCATCAGGTGCACGGCGCATCCGTGAATGAAGCTATTATCGTATCACGCAAGTCCCGTAAAACTCCTGGGAACATGGCCCAAGTCGACCAAGTTGACAAGGCGAAAAGTGAAAAGCAGTCGCGTCATCCATGCAACTCGGAGCCAAGCGACGGCGACGGTGACGGCAGTGGCGGTGGCGGCTGCGGCTGCAGCCTGCACCACCTTTGGCCGGGAGCGTCATCGACAACATCAATAGGGCCATATGTCAAAATAACGAGGCCTGGGCCCGAGCCACCACCCCAGGGCGTAACGGTAATTTGGGCTGCCCTGTGCAACCCTGTGCTGCATTCCAAAACAGAGGCAAGCGCGCACCAAGTGCATTGCAAATATTGGAAGGGGCCGACGGAGGTGT